ATTCAAGCAGCTAAGATGTATGTCGTCTTACCGGACATACACTGATGGAAACGAAAGTCAAAATGTACTCGCATTAAAAAATAAATTTATGTTTCCCTTTGTCCGCGTTATACAACAGCCCTACAAATAAATAGCAAACAGTGTATGAGAGAATTTCTTCGATCGGTACATGTATTAGGACGCAAGTAAAGGAAAACTATAATAATAGACGGTTACAGAAAATCACCGGGTAGTGCACACTAACAAACTGTGTGCGTTTAACCCCTGAATAAAACGAAGAGTTATGAAGTCTTAATCCTATGAAAATGCTTTGGGTTTTTTGAAAATACAGCCAAGTATTATTGATGAGAGCCGAGGAACTCAGAGACAACATTCATAGTGGGTTGTCATTTCACCGTAGTTAGTGGTTCAAAACGTAATACAGCGTAATGAGTCAAGTAACTAAGAAATCACTTGAAATAGAACAAAGAAGAATCCAAACGCACTGAACAATCTATTGCACATTTTTGCAGTAGGCAGTGAACCACAGCGATACTCCTTAGCCTGCCAAACTATGGTAGGTGGAGTAATGGCCGGACCAAGGCTCCACTGGTTGGAAGTCAGCTCTTGAACCATTCGGCCACAGCTCCACAAAGCAGAATACCTAGTGGTTATGTTCGAACACCAGAAGATCTATCTTCTAATCACCAACTTGTAAATTAAAATTGTTTAGTGAATGAAGAATTATTCTACATACTGAAATGAATTGATCAACAAGGTAATAAAATATGATACTGAAAGTGCATTTTTATGGATATTAGTGGTCTGTGAGAAAATACCTTATCTTAGTTAGGGCAAGCTAAAACATCCACTGATATACTGAAGCACAAAGAACCGGGGACCACTCTATCCACAAATCATGCTACAGTTTGATACTAATTCGTGACAAATATGCGAATGAGCTAAGTGCCATAATCTCTTGTATTGCCAACTATAAATGGAATAAATCCGATTACTGACTGGAAAATCATGTATTTTTTCCAGCCTGCTTACTGGACTTTGAAAAGAGATACTATGTTCTTAGGATATATGTTGTAACTATATATATATATATATATATATATATATATATATATTCGCTATTTTGCTGCATGCTGAGCGCATAGAGTACCAAAAATACTTGGAATACTGCCAACTTTTTTAATGATTCCCAATGATCTGATTTCATTTTAGTTAGTCAATTTTCCCTAGGTAAAAAGTAATTTTAACTGAATTCTGTTTTAATTACTGATTGGCAGTATAATCGAGAAGTTTTTGCATGTTAGTCACAAATATCCTGTATGTGAATTGTGTAGATGATGCGACTTAGAGTATTGGGTTTCGCTGACGACCACTAAGCACAAAACGAATAAAAATACCTAGAATTAAATTTATGAATTGTTATATAACAGTTATTTCTAGAAAAGTACGTAAAGCGAAAATGTGAGGTGTTAATTAGTCCAAAGAAAGTAGTAAGTGCAGAAGTTGTCATATGCTGAAATAGTGCAAATAACGAATATAACTACTAAGTTATTGGATGGATGCTTACGGAAAAACAACTTCCTGTTGGAATTTTTCCTTTCATTATTTTTCGAGAACAAGGTGATCGGTCAATCTTCGAGTGTCAGTAGGAAGACCAAAACTCACTGGGATGTCAGTAAATACGTCTTGCAACTCCTGAGTGGACCAAAATATGCCTTCCAAATTCCACCATTGAAAATTTACATAACGTTTTACTTTCTGTTAAGCATTATGCAATGAGGTGTTATATGTGTTTATATATGTCTATTGCCATGTATAAGACCGATTGGGGACATCATGTGACAGGCCAGGCCCTCGAGTAGAATCCAAAGAGGAAACGACGAGTTGGGGGTCCAAGATTAACATGGAGGAGATCATGTGAGGAAGAAATGAAAGGTTGTGGGCAGTCGTGGAGCGAGGTTCAAAAGACTGAAGAGAAGAGAGTGAAATGGAGACGTGCCACTGAGCCCTATGTTCCACTAGGAACCCAAGTGACAAATAATAATCAATAATAATAACCGCCATGCACATAATGTGCATCAAGACTAACATAAATTAACCTGTAGACGTAGCGCTGAATCAAAATGATTCCACTCGGCATTTTACGTGAACTTAGACAGTTTGAAAATATCAGCTGTTCATTTTCCCTTAAGAATAGTTCTAATGCATGCAAAGGAGTGAGTAGATTACATAGAACGATTTTATAGAGAAGATTTAATATGATTCTACGCCAGATGTTCTCATTTTTCCCTTAATTTCATAACATAAATTCTCTGAGTGTAAAGAACGACAATTTATTGCTTTATTATTTACTGTCATGAATTCTAAAAGTTAAGCCATTTCTGTCTAAAGTTAAGAATATAGACCCTGACTAGTATTCTATGCATGTGAATGCTAATAAAATTTCTACGAAAAGTGCTTATATACTTCCACGCATTTAAGCGGCATTTCTGTCGTGTGGTCGCACATACATAACCAGGAAGCATGTATAACATTCTTTGATTGAGTTGTACTGCGTATTCATCTTCTCATATTGTCATCTGATTTGTGTTGCTGTCACTTGTTATATTCTTGTAGTGACTACTTGATGTAGCCTGATTTATGTATATATGGACGCTTGCACAATAACTTTCAGACTTCACCCTTAATGGTCGGTCAGTTCCTCCAAAATGGAAAAAGCAGTAAAATAACAGAATGTGTATTTGTAACGTGAACGTAAACAATACATACAAAATACAAGGTTTATATATGTTACAGTGGCCTTAGCTATTTTCAGGCCTTTCTAGATTTGAACCCTACTGGTTTTTCTTTGCTTCAACCAACCTGAAACTTGCACATTGGTTCACGTGTTTTTCCTGAAACTTCGAAGCAAAGCGATTGGTAGAAAAAGACTAATGATTTAAGGCCACTTGTGAAGAATTTGGTAAACTTATTCCACACTATAACAGTTTTCGAACATTCAAATGTGGTTAGTGGTAAGAGTTGGCTTCCATACAGGCAGCAAAGGGCGATAAAGCCTGATTCAAAGGTTCCACTAAAACATATCTACTTGCCGCTTACTTGCACATATCAGATTACATCTTGACCTTTGTGCTTATAGACATATAATCTGTCAAAAATGAGTTCATAGTATTATGTCTTGCCATAATATCATGAAAATAAACGCTTCTTAGACATATTCCTGTCCACTGACTTTCTGTAACATATTTGTACGGAAATATTTCATTGTCAAAAGGGGAGGAAAAGCAGAGTTGAGGATTTTCCCCTCTTAGTCTTCATGCTGTGTTTACTGCCTTCATCAAATATCAATGTAGGTTTCTTATGAATTACTTCCAACTGTTAAGAAACGGTATTTTCATCACGGCAATCAATAAAAAACTCTAAAGACAAACTGATCTTTAGTTCTGTCTTAAGACTCTTTAGAAATCCATGTTACCATCAGCTACTTCCAAGTTTTGGAACCGGGACAAGTATCTTAACAGTGAATGACTATCTTTCAAAATTGTATTCATTCTGTGTTTGTAGTTACGGGTTGGATGATGCACTTAAATACTACTGATGCAAGATGCTGTCGGACAGTTTTCCTTGTTTCACTGTTCCCTGTATTTTTTTGCTTGTCAGCAGGCGTTTTTGTAAGCTTTAGAAATTATGACTTACCAGAGATTATCCACTGCTTGCTTACTGTCACAGAAAGAGGCTTTTCTACTCGGGTCATCTCATAGGGTTCACGTATTCCACTGGATTTGACAAAATTAACCAGCTTGCTATGTAGAGTAGGTTTGATTTCTATGCCTCTAAGGATTTCACTTTGATTTAGCTAGCGAAATTTGTAAATCTTGCTGAATAAGTTCTAACAACTCAAGCCCTTTAATGGGATGTTATTTGCTTAATGACACATTTGTATTAGAGACTTTACTTTATGTTATCTGAATCATTTCCAATGGAAATTTGTTTGACAGAGAGGTTTGAAAATTGAAAAACTACTAAGCCGTAGTAAATGTAAGTTTGAAGATCTTGCATCCGTCCACCAGTTTTCTGAACTTTCACTTTGTAAATAACTAGTGGTTGCTAGCGAATTTTGAGTTATCACTTCTATAGTTCCGGTGTGTGCTCGGACCTTAATAAGAACAAAAAACGCATAGTTAAGCCACCGTATACTTGGCTGGAAGATGAGAAGGTCAAACATGCATTTCGAGAGGAGAAAGCTAAGCATATATCTAAACACTATGGAAATTCTCTTCATGATGAACTCTGGAGTAATACTTAGTCTTCAGTAGAAACACTTATAAAAACAGTTAGTGACCTATTATACATTTGTGGGACATGGTAGCTGAAGAAATGAACAGATTACAGGATTTTGGCCATAAGTAACTTATTAGTATTTCTGATGTGTAATGGAATCAGGGCTTTGGCAGTGTTGAAGTTAAGCACCGTTTACTAGGCAAGGAAGGTAAGATATGATATCAGCCCATAGAGTCTTCAACTGTTGGTTTGCGTCGCGAAAGGATGCGTAGACTTTCTGGGATCTTCGTGATACAGCTAGAGCTCTGTCACAATGGTTTTGATGTATACACTGTCTATCATCTTTAAAGTCTCTGATATTTTTATTGACTTTCACCTAATTATCACCTCTTCTTTCATATACACAAGTCTAATTTATTCTTATTTCTTTCTTCGCACTTCTTCCTGCATGTTGCTATGAATTGTGGTAATTGAACTGATACACGTGTATTTCCGTTTCTGCGTTGATTCTTTTGTCCACTTGTCTACTACATTTTTTATTCTAAGTAAAATATTAACCTTAAGCGTTTATTTGTTCATATAGGTCAATTTCCTTTCATGTTAATTCGTCTTTGGATATTATTACTGCTATTATTATTATTATTATCAACATTGATTCCTTCTACCAAGTCTAAATAGATTTTAGGGAATTAATTTTATTTTTTTGTTGTCAAAACAAGGAAATCCTCCTGTATCTTCTGGATCACTTTAAACGATTAACAAACAACTGTGAAGTTAATAAAATGGATACACAAAATCTGGCAACTTGTCTTGCTCCAGTCCTGTTTTATCCATCACCAAATTCTGCTCGAAGTCTTGATCCAAATGTTTTAGAGCCTAGAAAAATGGCTGAAATATTCAAATTTATCCTAGAGATATGGCCCGATGATCGATCAAGATCGTATAAATTCAACCCAACTGAATCTTGGATTTCTCCTTATTCCCGAATGTTGCTCTTCCCGAAGATCAACAACAAACAGGATATCATCAACATCACCATCATCCCAGGCATAGATATGAAGGATCTAGCCATCGAGCATCAAGTGCCATTAGATCGACGTTATCCGGACCAGCTGGAACTGGACTGGGCTATCGATCACCACACACAGTGCAAAGATCTAGTATTTTAACCGGTAAAGCTGAATCAGGTAATGTGTAGTTTTTCTTAAAAGGTTTTGAGAACAGTCTGGTTCAATTTATAAGTATTTAATTATCCTTAGAAATTTATGATATATCAGGTGTTTCTGGTTGACGATAGGGATGACAGTATCCATTCGTTTCTCAATTCGACGTCTGCAGAACGAAAGGATGTTTTGAGGAAGATATTCAACACATCTACAGTTTGACACAGAAAGATATTGTGAACTGAGGTCTGTGGTGACAAAGCTTGCAGTGAGATGTTCTTCCTTTTCTAAACATCACTTTACTGAGCTACAAATAATTACAGTTAAGTTTGCATTTGAACAAACTTGACCAGATAAGTATACCTTTTAAAAGTGAACTCTAAACTTAAAAAATGAAATATCTGAGTGTATCTCATTATCATTTGACAAAATTTCATACGCTCAATTTAAAACTATCACTAACTGCCATTATGTCCATGAAAATGACAGACGAGTATAAAACTATGCAACTTAGTTACCATACATATTAGCGAAGTGTATCATCATTTTTTGCTGACCTACTAAAAGGTATGGTTTTCATTTCATGAAGAATCTATTGCCGCTATATTTAACTAAAGTGCCAGAGAACTTGAGATCTAATCTCAGCATCAATTTTCTCCAAACTACAACGGCTTCTTGACACTAAGATCCAATGAAGAATAAATTTGGGGCTTGCGATTTCACGAAATCACAAAATGTGCAACAGCTAAACACTGCTCATTGTAGCCATTATCTTATTATTTGGTAGAATTATTTATGCAGGTACTGATCAATGGAACGTTTATCCTCTCAACTTCTGTATTGCTTTTGAAAACACTTATTAGTATATTGATTAAGACAAAACTTCCGTTTATGCAATAGAACTGTTATTTTTGTGGTTGTATTCACCATGGAGTGACTGAAGTTGGAGTACCGCTGAAACATGAGAGCACTGGATAACTATCTTTTCCTGGTATGAGACTCCATAGTAGTACGCACCCACGACTCGGCTAGGGATCTAGCTCAGGACCTACATGTTTCACGGTGAACGCGTTAACCATTCAGGCACTGGGTAGGAGTTTAGTGGCTCACAGTTTTCAACTTCTGTCATTTCATGATATAGCACGTTTATCACCTGGGATCTTCGAATGGCATCCGCTTACTTTCCAATTGGTTGACTCTACACGTCACGGATTCTCATAAGAACTTAGTGATATCCATCTGTAAGCATTTCCCTAATGAGCACTATACAGCAATGTATTTTTGAGATGAATGGTGATTTTAAATTTGAAGTAGTATTCATCACAAACTTGTGGTTCATTATAACAATTATACTTAAACTAGGAAACTTGTATAATTGCGTGGTCATCATATACAGCTGTATCAGCGTGACCAAAATTGTCATCCACCATCACTATCGAATACAAAGAACCAGTAGTTACGTGTTTCGCATTTTCCTAAGCGTTTTAAATCGTTTATTAATCATTTCCTCTTTCAGTGTCCAAAGTAATTAACGTAAACCAACAAGTCAAAAAGCGTAGGTCTACTTATCAGCTATGTGTTTTGATCATATGGTCGAACAGTCCTTTGTAAACAAAACACTTGAAAAGATTTAGGTGTGCTGACGAAGTACTAGCTAAAAATGGAATGATGATCATATTCCAACTTTTATTCCTCCCATGCATTTTTGAATGATAAAAGCAGTTCAACAAATTATCTAAGCGGATATTTGTATTTCTGAATAGTTCGCAGACACCAAACTGAAAAAGGTAACAACCTTCACCACTAAAAAAAGAATCACTAAAGAGAAAAAACTATGCGCAATAGCAAGAAGTACACAAATAGCATTTTACTAAAGAAAAGTGTCTTTTTGTTAAACAAAAAGGGAAGTAAGAACAGTATTTCGATATACAAGAAAAAGCTTTTAAAATATAATTGTGAACACTCATGTTATCAGATGTATAACAAGTAAACTCGTCAAGTTATATCAAAAGATCAGTCAAATACAATTTTAATACAATTTGAGAAAGTAATTAGGATCATGCTGTGGACTACAGTGAAACCAGTATGAATCCATTTTGTTTCGCCGACTATCATACTAAAAAGTAAGAAGATAAGCGTAGGTTTTCATGATATGAACAGATTTGTAGTTTCCTCCGAAGAGTATCGGAAACATTAACTAAAGATCGATTTGACTAACTGTTCACCGAGTGCAAAAGAGTGAAATTTCATGTGACAATAAATGTTGATAAATGAAGCGACAGCTTAAGTGGTTGATGATTTGACACCTTAGTCGGTATACATACTTTCAAACTCCTGAGTTAGGAGAGCAACTGTAATTTTTAAATCTGATTATTCGGATTCGACTGGTTAACTAGTTCACCAGTTAATAGCCAGTCGTAAATCTGGATAAAGAGGGAAGGTTGGGCATAGGACTAGCAAACCTACCCCGGAAAACCAATCCAATCACTAAAGAAACTTCAAAGCACAAAGAAATTATAAAAAAAATACAAGACAAACTTATTCCTCGCTGCAATAAGAGAAACGAAATGAAAGACTTCGGGAAGCCAGTCGGCCAATGTCTTCTATTCTCCTCTCTCGATTAAAGCAGAAGTAAGCACGGGGACATGCAATGTCCACACCATGTATGAACCTAGCAAGACTGCCCTGATCGCAAAAGAGATCAAGAGGTATGGCATGGAAGTGCTTGGAATCTGCAGATGGAATGGGAGTGGACTCTCCAAACTGTCAACTGTAGAGTCAATAATCTACTCCGATATCGTCACCCCGAAGACAACCACCAGCACACTGAGTTTTCGAGTGGCTATCATGATGCCCCCAACAGCATCGAAAGCTCTCTCTCGTACAGTGGGAACCAATCTCCTCCTGCGGGAACAGCATCATGACAGCCAGATGGGTTCAACTCAAAAGGAAAGAAAGTCACAATCATTCAATGATACGCTACGCTATGCACCTACAAATAATGCAGATGAAGAGAAGGAGGAGGAATTCTACAGACAACTGCAATCAGTACTAGACAGACAAGACTCCACCCTAGTTGGCTATGGTGACGTCAAAATTCAAACGGGCAACATGAATGTGAAAATGGGAGCAGACAACACGGGAAGAGAACCAATTATGGGTCGAGAAGCACTCGGTAAAATGATGAATGAGAATGGAGAACTGTATGCAGACTTCTGCTCACTTAATGATTTGGTGATTGGAAGCGAGGCAGTGTGTACAAACACAGGGATATTCACAAGGCAGTGACATGGATTTGACTTCACCAGACACCAAGACACACTAAAAATCACATCGACTTCATCTCAATGTGGAGAAGGTGGAGACGCAGCCTACTTGACACCAGATCAGATGAAGAAGCGGAGCAGATGTATGTAGGTTCACACCACTCACTTCACTATCTAGTGCAAGGAACCTACCTTCCATATCAAGTTGAAAGCCTTCAAAGAAGATGGTGACGATAGACCACAGTTCAAGTTCAACTACCACCCAGAACAGAAACTGAACTGAACTCAACTGAACTGAACTGAAGTGAAGTGAAGGACGAAACTACAAAGCACATCTTCACATCAGAAAGTCAGTCAGTCAGTCAGTCAGTCATCAGAACAAGATGGGAGACATTGAGCCACATCCCTGAAGGAACCTGCGTGGAAGAACACTGGAACTCTTTGAAAGCTGTGTGGAAGGGATCCTGCATAACCGTGTTAGGAAGGAAGGAAGGAAGAAGAAGAGGCAGGACAAGGAATGGATCTCGACGGACATATGGAAGCCGATAGAGGAAGGAGAGGAGGAGAGGGAGAGGAGATGGTGAAACATAAGGTGAAGCAGAAGATGAACCAGTGCAGTGGAGTGCAGTGCAGGGATGAAGAGCGAAGAGGGGAGCTGAACACAACCTATAAAACACTACAATGGACAAAGAAGTGAAGAAGAGTGCGCGCAGAGACAAAAGATACTTCCACGACACACTGGCAAGTGAAGCAGAACAGGCGGCAGATAGGAGAGATAGAGACCTGACAACCCCCAAATCAAATAACCAGGTTACTATCTGGGAGGGAAGAGATCAACACAGCACATGCGAAAGCAATGAAAGTTAGTGAAGGGAAGCTAGTTAGCAAAGAGGAGAAACAATGGAAACGATGGGCTGACCACCACCACCACCACCACCACCACCACCACCTGCAACTCGTCCAGAAATACCACCAGCAGCCCAGCCACAGAACTACCAGTGAACATAGACCCTCCTACAAGAGCAGAAGTGAAGTCGTGAATGCCATAAAACTGCTGAAATTCGGGAAAGCAGCAAAACCGGATGGAATTCCTCCAGGTGCAGAGACAACAGCAGACATGCTGATATCACTATTGAAGTAGGTTTGGAAGCAGGGAAGGAAGGAAAGGTACCTGCCTGTCGACTGGAAGAAGGGCTACCTTGTCAAACTCGCAAAGAAGGGTGACCTGAGTATTTGCAAGGACTGGCGAGGAATCATGCTGCTGTCCACCCCAAGTAAGATATTAGGCCGGATCATCCTGGAGAGACTAAAAGATTCTCTGGATTCAAAATTACGACCGGAACAGTCTGGTCTGCTGGTTGGCTGACTGGCTGGCTGGCTGGTTGGCTGGTTGGCTAACTGGCTGGCTGGCTGGCTGGCTGGCTTGCTGGCTGGCTGGCTGGCTGGCTGGCTGGCTTGCTGGCTGGCTGGCTGGCTGGCTGGCTGGCTGGCTGGCTGGCTGGCTGGCTGGCTGGCTGGCTGGCTGGCTGGCTGGCTGGCTGGCTGGCTGGCTGGCTGGCTGGCTGGCTGGCTGGCTGGCTGGCTGGCTGGCTGGCTGGCTGGCTGGCTGGCTGGCTGGCTGGCTGGCTGGCTGGCTGGCTGGCTGGCTGGCTGGCTGGCTGGCTGGCTGGCTGGCTGGCTGGCTGGCTGGCTGGCTGGCTGGCTGGCTGGCTGGCTGGCTGGCTGGCTGGCTGGCTGGCTGGCTGGCTGGCTGGCTGGCTGGCTGGCTGGCTGGCTGGCTGGCTGGCTGGCTGGCTGGCTGGCTGGCTGGCTGGCTGGCAACGAACCAACCAAGAACCCATCACCCAACAAATATGCAGAAGAAAGTGGAGATGGATTGGACTGGGCATACACTGAGAAGACCGATTGGGGACACCACCACCACGCATCAGGCCAGGCCGTCGAGTTGAACCTCAAGGGGAAACGACAATTTGGGCGTCCGAGGCGAGGGTGACATGGAGAAGGTCGTGTGAGGAAGACGTGGAGGCTTCAGGGCAGTCGTGGATCTAGGTTGGAAAGACAGCAGAGCAGAGAGTGTAATGGAGGCGTGCTGCTGACTCCCTATGTTCCACTAGGAACCGAGAGAAAAATAATATTTATAATCTAATATTCGGAGTGTGACATGAAAATTGGTCGTTTTATCGCCTCGTTAGTAATATTTATCTAGATGATGTACGTTTCTACTACTGTAAAATAATTGTGACAAAACAGTATTTTAGGTAACAATAAACAATTTAAGTGTATGACTCAGAATATAGGCCTGAAGCAGCTGAAAGGAGGTGAACAAATTAAGCTTAATCCATGCAATTCTTTTAGAATAATTGTTATTATACGATAATGACTTAGGTTGGGACAAAAACGTTCATCGACGGCAGTCCATTTGCGTAATGAACGATAAATGAAGTCAAAAATTACTGTCTAACCATAATCTGACGAAAATTCACTCACTATTATTCACTTGGTATATATTCAAATACAACTCACATGCATTTAATTCTCCCTAGTAGTACTAAATGGAAATAACGCTTGCATTGAACACCCTCTTGGGAGTAATGTACATCATATTGTTTGCTCTTGAATGCAAAACAATGCTTGTCTCTTAACTTTAAAGGGTGATGACAGAGGTGTGAGTCTACTATCGCTAAAAAAACTCAGCCAGCTCTTAGAACCAGATGAGATGTGATAAAACTGTTTGTAATCTACAAACGTATCAACGAATTTGAACTTATCTTTCATGCATCCAGTCACAGTCTGAATAACTGAGTGCTAATTTATTTAACTGTGGAACTGAACGATGCAAGTTTGGATCTCTTGTGGAACATCAGTACCTTTAAGGTTTCAGAGACGCCTTTCTGAGAAGGAGCTAAAGGGCATCAAACTTAAACAAAGCTTTTGCTGACAGCTTTTAACCATATATTTTAACTGTATTGAATTTAGTCCGAAAAATGTTCATGGAACATGTGTAAAACATAACCAACAAAGGGAACTCGGACCACTTTTGACATTGGGACGCTTGTCCCTCAATTCAGACTTATTCACATCAAATATATCGTACACTACCCCTCTGATATCAACGACCGTCCGATCGCCAGTGTGTGCTGCTTTAGTTGAAAATAGACGCAGATGTTTCCTTATGGTCCTGTTTACCGCGTTCCGAAAGAGTCATTTAAAGTAGCCAGTCATAACATAGTAAGTTTCAGTATCTAATTGATAAAATTGTCATGTTTGTTGTGTTGATTTGTATTTAAATATCACCCTTCAGATAAGTCAGATTATGCAGGAATAAGTCGAAGTGGGAAGATAAAATATGGTAATGGCTCTAACGGTTCGTCAAGACACGGGATAACTCAAGAAGAACATCGAAGACCTAGTCGAGATCCTCGTCAGACTGTCAGTTTTGGTAATGCAAAAACAATAAGAACCCATTCAGCGCAACGAAAAACTTTATCTCAAACTGATATAAATCTTGGTAGTGGCCGAGGTTATTCAGTCGGCTTTGATTTTAGAGATCAACAAGCGATTCCTCCTCCTGACGAGTCTAACATCCGAGTACATCCACGTTTTCAAGATATACCAACGACGGGTTCTACTGGGACAGACAGTGGAACACGATCAAGTTTATCAGTTGGTTCAAGACAACCTTGTCCGGTACCACATGCTAGCTCATCAGTAGATCGAGGAGCACATAGTGAACTAATTCGAAGCTCTAGTCAAGAACGCCAACAATATGGACGGACTCACAGACTCTCAAGACGCTCTCATCCTTTCAGTTAGCCTTCCTTTTTGAGAATGTTGGTTTACAGTCCACTTTCGACAAACACAAAGCAAGATATAGTTTATTCATTTTCTTAAAATACAAATGCTTCTCATTTCTAATGGGTTTTTTTGATTGTCTTCACAATCTATCTTTTTTACTGAAAATGAATATTCCTGAGTTTGAAAACTGTACAGACACGTATACTGAGTTCGGTTTTATTTGTTGATAAGACGTTTCGTCAACAAAAATTTTATGCGAAAAAACTGTTGACTTTATTGCAAACCAATCAAGAAAATGAAACAGAAGTGGGAAGTTCACATGTAAAATCTGGCAAAAAACAAGCGCATCCCCTAATTTCTCAAGTTGTTTTAAAGTCGAAATTACAAATACAGAGTGACAATGTTTAATCGAAGGAAACGTCTAATTCAAAGTTTTTGTGATGATTTTATTACCTTTCACCTTCATCTACCTACTCGTCTCCTCCTCTATACTTTGTCAATTCTTGTTTATTTCCTTCTACGTTGAATGCACATCAAGATCCCTGATATGATTTCATTTTTGCAAGGTGTAGCACACAGACACACATTATTTCCCTCATATTCTGTTTATGGTTTCATGTTTGTTAATCCATCATCGAATTTCAAGTTCGTTTCAAATAAGTTTCCCTGTTCATTTCATTTCTTTTTTCCTAATTTGTTTCAAACAGATTCTCTTTCTCTCTCTCTCTCTCTGAATTAAACAGTATATTGAAGTGTAAATGAGATACTATTAAATAACTGAAAGAAGTAATATATAGGATTTTTATGTTTAATTGCACTTAAAATGTTCTTCATTCTTGTTTTCTTCTTCAAACTGTTTAAGTTATGATACTGTTATTACCGAAACTGATATTGTTACTATCACTACTGTTATTCACAGAGTATACATGCATTACCTAACATGTATACTAACTGTTTCAGCTGAAATACTACTGATTAGTGTTTCAATTTTTCCTCCAACTCCTTAATTTCACTTAGTTTACAATGAATTAAGTGAGTCGTTGACGAATTTAATTTGTTGGCTGGACCAACAACTGTCTAATGATACACAAAGTGTGTATATATGGATATACACATGCACTCATTCACACACGCACAGACTACCATATTAATGCTCATTCATATTATCTCAGTAATAATGATGGCGTCAAAGAGGAAGATTAAACTGATATTTATAAATTGCTTGGGATATGTTTAAATACTTATTCTAATATACGCACAGCTGCATTATATATCATAATAGTGTACATGCTTGGAAATGTATATGCCCCACCTGTAAACAGGTTTGTGTTTAACTGCACTAGATGTTTGAGATGCCATGTTTACGTAAACATACTCATTTACCGTATTTACTGTCCTCTATTCACTTTTTTGACAGATGGATGAATATATATGAACAGATCTATCTCTACACTTTGTAACCTAATGAGTTGTAATTTTAAGTTAACAGTAAATATATATGCCCTAGTAATTTAGAACATAGAGATTCCCCTTCGTTTTACATTGATTATGAGTGCTACTACCGCTACTAACCTTACACTGCCGTTTATAAGCATGATTATTATTGTTGTTACTACGAGTTTTACCACAACTACTACCTTGACTACTATTACTACTACAACCATGGACAATACTAATATTGCTGACATTCTGCTTACTCCCTGAATAATAATTTCTCTCTCCTTGTACTTCAATACATTCTAGTCCTATACAAACTATCCACTCAAAATGTAATCAATGAAAGTAATCATTAATGATTCCTTTTCTCGCTTTCTCTCTAACTTCTTGCTTGATTTCTCAGTCAGCTGATTGGTTACACTTCGTCAGTAGTGTAACATCTGAGCTACTTGGTAGCAAATAAACAGACATGAACACGAATGCAAACTTCCGTACAGACATGTAGCAGAAACTTTATAGACACGAAGTCGTACCTGCACGAAATAAACCCTTCTTTTTTTAAAAGAATGTGATGGGCCAAAATAAGTTTGTTTTTCCACCCACCCAACTCCTTCCCGTGGTCTTTTCATTTTCTCTGTTTGTGATTTTCCCTACTGTTTAGTACCGATAAAGATTACAGAAAATATCGAATTTAATTCTTTTTTTTGGACTGATAGTCTGCAGAATTCAAGAAAAGACCTCTGCTAGTGGAGAGAACAGTCACTAGATAGAGTGCTTTATTTATTCAGCCACAGTAGAATAAAATGACAAATATAGTTAAAAAGAAAGCAAACACACTTCTAAATTAGCATCTGTTTACTTCAGCAGGGCCTGTTAACGAACAATTAGCACAGTCATGAAAGGAGTAGCTCTGCTGCTGTAACTGGAGAAACTGCAAAAATTAAGGAAAGTATTTCTTCAGAAGTAAGAATGGGTTTGTTCTTTGCCTCAAAACCTGCAGCGTAATGTGGAGTACTCTGAATGAGACTCAACACGTGGAACAAAATGTGTCTTATATGCCATTTTTAATCTGTTTATATGATATGTCACCTAGTGGAACAGTATCATTTACTGGACAACGTTTCTGATGCAATTTATCGTCCACATTCATGTCACACAAATCTAATATGGAACATCCCTAGGGTTCTCTGAACATTTCAGTATTCATTGGTTTGGACAGCGATGAAGTGGCTATTCCCGGATTACTGTCCTTTTAGTGGTTCATTCTCAGATTTTTCCATTGGTGTGGTTAATTTCGTCTCATCAGAAAGTGTTCTTTGTTCTTTTGTCTTCTGCACTCTTCTTAAGTTCCTCAAGTTGTTTGACAGCATACAGCAGAAAAAGACAAACGAATTTTTAATACGTCTAAATCACTTACTTGAATTTATTCACATAGTTTTTCATAGTCAGTCCCTGGACTCTGTAAGATCACTACCAGATGAAAGTAAATACAGGACTGTTGCCTGCCACACATTACTTTACGCAAACATTCTTGTCAGTATTAGAAAACCACATTACCAGCTTGTGGAAACCTACATTCGCTTTTGTATTGGGTAGTCACAAACACAAGTAATTTCAATAATATGAACTTCATTCATCTCATATTTAACTTTTCTAGTCACCGTTTATCACACAGATGTTATTAAGTCAGGAGAGATTAGGAGATGAAACTAATTCACTGTTCAACTAGATTTCTATATGTTGCCACATCTACACTTTCTTTTAGAAGTCAATAGAAGTAAGTACTATTATGTTTCAGAAAATATGAGCTAAACCCGAAGAAAGGTATATCCGTAAGGTAGAAAAGCATAAATATTGGTTAACGTTTTTGTCACAGAAAGTGTTTATCAGGCTGATGTCTGGATTACTTCAAGAAGTATCTGCTAGCCAGTCGAACTTCAAATGAGCAGGTAAAAGTTTTCTTGTTGGTTAAACTTTCTTCGTTTCCTTTTCAGCAACCACATCGCCTAATTAAAGTTCATATATGAAACAAAGTAAAGAAGCAACCAAATACCTTCACAGAATGTAATCACTTTAATTTTACATTCTTTCACCATCCCATCATTCAAGTCAAAGTAAAAGCCTACAATCTATAACAGAATTGGTATATATTTTTCATACTGGGTGATAATTGAAGGTGAGATGAAAATCTGGACCGCAACCCGATTTGAACCAGCGACCACCGGGTTACCGACCCGGTGCTCTATCAACTAAGCTACGAGGTCCTCTGCTAACCAGAATTTTATTTAACTTCAAACATCGCTTCACTTTACTTCAACCATCACCCGGTATAAATACTAGTCTGTCAAACTACGGCTATCTCAGATAGTCAAATGATATATTTTTTAACCTGTCTCATATATTACCTTGGTAGAAAGTGTATGATGAAGAACATTGAAAGCTGCAAGAGGATTGACTGGTGGACAGTCTATATGATCGTAATGTAACTTTTTGCTTTACTAGTTTTTAAAGGCTGTTGATAACAATTTACAAGGGTTTCGATGGGGTTAAAGATACTCATAGTAATAACATGTCGGTATCCATGTCAGACGAATTACAAATCCATGAAGAAAAAATAAGCGAATTAAAGTTTTTGTATGTTGTACAATGTGTGAATTAAGTTACCGACAATTGTTTTAGTATAAGAGAATAAGTGAGAACGGTGAGTATCACAGTGCTCACTATATCCTCGAAGCGCCTCCCGATTACTTAGTGTTCTCGACACAGTTAATCCATTTGCCCTATGCAACACTAAAACTGAAAATAACGCATTTCGGCTTAGTGACAGGTAAATTCTCGTGCAAGATGATAAATTAGCATGTTGCAAGTGGACACTAGCATCACCCATTGGCTCGCAAAATTGTAATTTAAGATTATGGGTATGTATTATGTTTGATGGACCATTCCTGCTGTAAACAAATCGAAAGTTAGATTTTTAGAAGGTAGATCTTAAATGCCAACCCATAGTTTTTAAGGTCCTAATGTTTAGAATGATGTACCAAACTACAGCGGTGATTTACTTTTCATGAAGATAAATGGTGAAGAATATTAGAATTAACATTATAGCTTAATATTATTTTTGCACACCATAAAACTTAGCCACGTCTAATTCATGGTCAGGTGGAAAAAAATCGACTTGCCACTTTTTCATTCTATAGTATACTTGTTGAACGAAATCTTGAAATACCAGTAAACTAAGTTAAACAAATTCGGTTGGTCGTGGCTAGCAGAAGAATCCAGGAAGCACGTTCAGTCCTGCTTGGGACTCTTCAGCTGGATGGACCTGCACCCCAGTGGTAGTGTACCCACTGAGACTCGAACGTTGTATCCATCGGTTCAAACGCCAAGGTGTTACCCACTATGCCACAGAGGAATGATAGCCACTTCTTGTACAACGGGTGATAGTTTTTATTATTTATTGACATACTTATTATTCTCCGTTATTTTGTTGGATAGAATTGTTCGTCCCAAATAGAACGAAACGCACATCCTGGATTCTTCTGCTAGCCACAACCAACCAAATTATCATAATTAACATTCAG